AGACTGTCACCCACTTTATTGAACACAGGCTTCTTTTATGCCTCCATTCCACACAATACACTTTCCTTAGTCCCAGGCAGGGGGGGGGGCTGGGTTACAGATAGCCATCTCCCGCCCTGGGAGATACCAAACAGTACACAGGGATACACATTAAACCACATTACATTCAGGGGTGTTACACTTTGGGGCTTGGCACCCCTAGAATGGAATGGGTTACAGGGTTAGATAGCCCCGGGTTCCATCTGAAATCCTTGCCAAAAGCGTAGTGATCGGATGTACAGAGCCGGAGATATCAGTGTCGAACGTCTGGGGCTCAAGGCTCTGTACATCCCCAAAATTATTTCCATGGTGTTGCTTGGTTTAGTCGCGCCTAAACCAAGCAACAACCAATCAGCATTCAGGGGAGGAAGAAGTTTCGCTGCCCAATCCAAAGAAAGGGAGTGAAACTCGGCTGCAACAATCAGTGCTTGGGGAGGAGAGGGGTTCCGCCGCCCAATCCGCTGAAAGGCGCAAAACCAATTCGCACCAATCTGCGCCCCGGGTCGAGACAGGTTTCATTGGCCAATCAGAAGGAAGGGTGTGAAACCCTGTTGGAACAAGCGCTCCTTCTCTGATTGGTCGCCCGCTCCCTGCGGCAACCAATCAGCTCTTGCCTGTGCCGACCAACCAGGAGAATGGCGCAAACCCAGTTTGAATGGGCGCTACTTCTCCCATTGGTCGGAACAGTCTTCCATGCAGCCAGTGGGACTCTGAGGCCGTGAGACCGACTCTTCCCAGATATTCCCTGCTGGCGCGCCTCACTCTCTCTGGTGGACATCCCCACGCAGGTATCCACCAGAGAGAGCACTTTCCTGGGCAGCCACGAGCCTAGCCTCGTAGCTCCCATGTAGGGGAAAGGGATTTGTGATTACAGCTCCTTTCAGAGCGGGTAGGACGGTCCCCGACATGAGGACTGAAGACAGGGTGCGCAGGCCGGTTTGGGATACGAATGCTGCCCCGCTTGTTCCCTTGCGGTCTGCGTTTTTCAAACCATGATAGCGAGGTGTGAACATTCTAACCACACATTCTAAATGGGGTATCGGGGTTGGCCGGCGCACGGTACTCCGTGCGCCCCCAGATGACTGAAACGTAAAATATAAGGGGAAATACATATTCAACAAGGGAAAAATCATCATGCAATACACATTGGGGACACAACATACAAGGCAAACACATAGGCATATACAGTGGGCGTGGTACTTAGTGACAGTGTCCCGCCACACATCTCCCCCTTGACAACTCCCGGTAGCTGCATCATGACTCACACGGGTCAGCTGGCTGCTGCCTAGAGTGCACACAGTCCTTTAGTGCCATGCCCCCTCCCCAACAGTACTTGTCCCCGACCAGCCCCCTTTGAGTCCTGGGCCTGGCCGGCATTGCACCCTGCACCCTCCCTGGGTACAGGGTGACTTAAACATAAAGTCCCTTTAGCCTGGGGAGCCATCTGACCCAGGCTCCGTCCCACCCATGCAACCCCCCACCCAAACAAAGGTGCCCACCCAGTCCTTCTGTCACCGGGGTCTTCTGGGTTTCTCCTACTGGCCGAGGATGATGGGAGTTGTCCGCTGGGCCCATCTTGGATCGGCATCTGGGGAGAAGAGCCGGCTGTGCTCTCCCCCTGGATCTCATGCAGCTTCTGGGGAGCTGTACCGGCTGCACCATGCTTGGAGGCCCGCGCCTCTGTGCCTTCTTGCTCTGGGGGTCCTGCATGGCTGCCGGACCTGGTTTAGGCAACAAGGGTGGGCAGAGGCTACCTGCTCTCTGCCTGAAGGCCCGCGCCTCCACACTTAAGGGATGCGAGGGTATCAGGGGTGGATAGAGGCTGGATGCTCTCTGCCCGGAGGCCCTCACCTCCACACTCATCTGCTCCTGGGAAAGTAGTGAGAAGAGGCTGGCTGCGCTCTGCTCAGATGCCGGAGCATCCTTAAGGGAAGGGGTAGTGGTGGTCGTAGCTTTGCCCGCTAACTGCTGACTTGACCATACCAGGTCTCTGGGCTCAGCTCCAGGGAGAGTCGGAGGAGCCGACTCTTCTACCTGCCGGGTGCCCATGACAACCGGAGTCCCATCCACAGAACCCCCTTGGGGTGGGCAGAGGCTGCCTGTTCTCTGCCTGGAGGCCTGCACCTCCACACTCATCTGTTCCTGGGGATATAGGGGTGGGCAGAGGCTGCCTGCACTCTGCTCACGGGCCAATGCCTCCACACCAACGGGCTCCTGGGGAAGGAGCGAGCAGAGGCTGGGTGCACTCTGCTTGGATGCCTGAGCATCCTTAAGGGAAGGGGTAGCAGTGGCCGCAGATTTGCTTGGTACCTGCTGACCCGACCGTACCAGGTCTCTGGGCTCAGCTCCAGGGAAAATCAGAGGAGCCAACTCTTCTACCTGCTGGGTGCCTGTGGCTCACACTGCTGCTGGGGAACGAGACCGGTTGTCTCCGTTTCCTGGACCTCACACTGCCACTGGGGAGGAAGATCGGAGCACTTCTCTCCCTGGACCTCACACTGCCACTGGGGAGTAAGGACAGAACACTTCTCTCCCTGGACCTCACACTGCTGCTGGAGAGGAAGGACGGAACACTTCTCTCCCTGGACCTCACACTGCTGCTGGGGAGGGAGGACGGTGCCCAGTGCTCCTGGGGTTGCATGGTCCAAAAGGGCGATTACTCTCGAGCCAGGCGGTGCTATTCTGTAGAGCAGGAATACATAGTCTTGTTTGATATCCCACTCTCGGCAAGCCAAAAATAGGATTGTTGAACATCTAAAATCACAGGGATTTTAAGATCAGAGACAACATGGGTTTACTTCAGGGAGATCATGCCAAACTAATCATATTGATTTATTTGATTGGGTAACTAAAATAATATATTAGGGTGATGCAGTAGACATTGCTTACCTAGATTTCAGTAAGGATTTTAACACTGTTCCACTTAGAAGACTCATTAATAAACTGCAATCTTTAAGTTTGGATTCCAATATTGTTGAATGGGTTAGGCAGTGACTGAATGACAACAGAGGGTTGTAGTCAATGGACTATATTTATAGCAAGGTTTAGTTACCAGTGGGGTACCTCAGGGATCTGTACTTGGACCCATATTCTTTAATATTTTTATTAGTGATATTGCAGAAGGTCTTGATAATAAGGTATGTCTTTTTGCTGATGATACTACAATTTGCAACAGGGTTGATGTTCCAAGAGGGATACGCCAAACGGCAAATGATTTAGGTAAATTAGAAAAAAGCTCAGAGCTGTGGCAACTGACATTTAATGTGGATAAGTGCAAGATAATGCATCTTGGACGTAAAAACCCAAAGGCAGTGTATAGAATATTTGATACCCTACTAACCTCAACATCTGAGGAAAGGAATTTAGGAATAATTATTTCAGATGACTTAAAGGTAGGAAGACAATGTAATAGAGCATCAGAAAATGCCAGCAGAATGCTTGGTTGTAAAAGGAGAGGCATTTGCAGTAGAAAGAGACCAGTGCTCATGCCACTGTACAGAACACTAGGAGTATTGTATGTAGTACTGGAGACCATATCTTCAGAAGGATATTGATACTTTGGAAAGAGTTCAGAGAAGAGCTACTAAACTGGTTCATGGATTGCGGGATAAAACTTACCAGGAAAGGTTAAAGGATCTTAACATGTATAGCTTGGAGGAAAGACGAGACAGGGGGGGATATGATAGAAACATTTAAATACATAAAGGGAATCAACACAATAAAGGAGGAGACTATATTTAAAAGAAGAAAAACTACCACAACAAGAGGACATTGTTGGAGTTTAAGCATGCGTGGGATAGGCATAAGGCTATCCTAACTAGAAGATAAGGCCAGGCACTAATTAAAAGTATTTTGAAAATTGGGCAGACTAGATGGGCCGAATGGTTCTTATCTGCCGTCACATTCTATGTTTCTATGTAAAGGGTAATTTAGTTGTATAGCCTTTTCAACTGTGCGTAGAGGGATATCTGCCACAGCTCACTGACAAGGCTCTCCAAGTCCAAATGATCATCTGATGTTGCTTTATCTCTTATGCTAAGGAAGCTTGTCAGCATTTTGGTTGGGATCAGTCAGATATTGGTTTGTTTGGTTTGCAAGTAAAATATATGTTTAGGAAATCAGCCCCCCTATTTGGAAGGAGCACTGATAATGCGGGTTATTACTCTTTGCAATATTGGTTAGTATCGTAGTTCAGGTTGGTAATAAAGTAGGTTGGTTGTGTAGATCAGGTTGGAATAAAGCAGGTTGGTATCATAAAGCAGGTTGATAGCATAGTTCAGGTTGGTATGAAGCATGTTGTGAATAAAGCAGGTTAGTAACAAAGGTTGGTTTGTAGAGTAGTTAAGGTTGATATAAAGAAGCTTGGTAGCAAAGAAGGTTTGTTGTGTAGATCAGTTTGGAATAAGAAGCTTGGTAGTGTAGATAATAAGACAGGTAAGTTCATGGGAGCCAGGAATAGAAGTCTTTTCAGGTTGACCATCAACTTCAATCTAAAGGCCCTGTATTGAGCAGGTGTAGCCTTTTGTAGGATCTGTAATTAATCCTACGAAGGTGAGGATGAGTGAAAAAAAGTTCAGAGCTAGTGGTTACAGAGGCCACTAGTGGCAAAACAGTTATTGCAGGTACAAAATTGAATGGAATAAAAGAATAAAGTTCCGAAATTAAGGTTTGAATCCTGACAGTATTGGTATGCTAGGCACAAAGATGTCACTATTAAAAATTTTAGGGACAGGGGGGCGTGGTCTAGCAGCCGACTAAGATGGCAGCATAATGAAAGTGCTCCTGTGCATCCACCTGTAATCCTGCACTTGTAAGCAGCATCGCAATGCCAAACTCACCCCTAAATGTCCCACGCAGGACCTGGAGCCACCACACACTGAAAAGGCGAGGAGAACCCAAGGATCCATCTCCCACAGTGGCTGACATGTTCGCGGCCTCGCGCTCCTCACAGGCCGCACAAGATGGCCGCCGGGCAGGCTCGCGTCACTCACAGTCTCCAGTTTCCTATGCAGATGAAGAGACGACAGACCTGCCAACTGGCAACTCAACGCAGATCCTGCAAAAATTGGTCATTCCTGGTAGGCGAAATCACCCGCAGCTCACAAGAGGTTAAGGCTGAAATACAGGCCCTGGGAGCACGTACATCGGACCTAGAACAATGGGTCAAAGTGATGGTACAGGCCCATAACTCCGTAGTTCAGCACTCCACCTCCATGGAACAACAAATCACTAACCTGGAGATGCAAGTGGAAGACTTCTCTAATCGCTCGAGTCAAAATAACTTAAGGATCAGAGGGCTGCTGGAGACACCAAACGAGGGCCCTCTCATACCAACCATGGAGGCCTAGTTCACCCATCCCTAAGGACCGATGGTGCCACCCAGGCGGAGATGGCAGTGCCTAGCGACATTATCATTCGCTTCCATTATCATGCTACCAAGGAAGCCATATTGTGGTACAACAGGAACCACAAGCTCCCCTACCAGGGCAAGACCCTCTCCCTCTTTCAAGATGTAGCATCGAGCACGCTCCAGAGACGATTAGATTGGAGGCCACTAGCAGACCTGCTATGCCAACATGAGATCCACTTCACCTGGGGGCACCCATTCAAAATTGTAGCCTTTAAAGCTGGAAGAACATATGCCTACTCTCCGGGCAGAGACCCGCTAAAGTTCCTCCAAGACCTCTCCATCACCCCTCTACAGGACTTTGCCTTGCCGGGACCGGCGCGACAGGGCCTCATGGAACTTCCCAGAGACTGGTACACCATTACAGCAGCAGCAAACCAAGAGGCGGCCTAGATAGGCGCACAGGGCTGCTCCACTGAATTGGTGATCCCTGAGAGACACTGGCTCTAAGATACAAGCCACGACTGGGACAGCTAAGTCTCACAGGGGAAGGGGGGGAGGGGACCTACACCTGGCAATGTTTAGTCTGGAGGGTAACTCAAGTGTACATACTGTAAATATGTTTTCTTTTAAGGGCAGTGGGAGGGGGAGGCATGAGGCCCACGGGACACGAGATGCCACCTTGCTGACTAAGCCACAGAAAGGCCGGTGTGCGTTCCCCTAGCTCAAGATTTTCCTGGGAGGAACCCAGTGGGAGAGCCCAGTCACACATGGCATGCTGGGTGAGGTACAAAGGCCTCTAATATCACTAATTACCCATGGGGCTCCAGCCTGGGAGACTAGACTCCACTCAGCTACCTACAGGGAGTCCCTCAGAGGTACTCTAGGTGCTACCGGCTGATAGCAACCACTCACCCCACGCCAACCTGCCTACCAAGTCCGGATGCACAGTCCCATCCCCCACGACGCTGGACAGACACCAAAACACTTACATCTGCAAAAACTAAAACAAGATACAAAAAAAAAACAATGAGAAAATGAAAACATAACTAAATAAAATGTTTGTACAATTAAGATAAGAAAGGAACATACTATTATATTCCAACCCGTAAATCACCTGTAAACTCACACTGGGTGTCAGGGTACCACCTTGGCAGGGCTACCCACAGCCCACCATATCCAAACTCACGAACCCAGGGCACTAAGAGAGTCTCCCGGAGTACAGAGGGTAAGGGGGAATATCCCAAGCACTTACACCTCTGATTATCTGGGCTGTAGTGCCCGCCCGGTCGGCCATGACCCACCTGGGACTACCTGCACCTGAAGTACATAAATACTACCCGATTATGTACCCCCATGACCCAGCACATACATAATGGGGCAACAAAAGGTTGTGACGACAGGGACGAGGCGAGATATGCCTCACCCCCACCTAGGGACTTAGAGGGGGAGATGCGAAAAACTTAGGGGGAGAGAAGAGGTACAGAAACTGCACGGGGTTGACCAACTGGCCCATACATGAAGGCCCAGGGAACCTGCTATGTTCATGTACTAGTTGTGTAGTGTATTATAGTGGGAACGCGCGGGGAGTCACCAACCCTGAGAGGTGAACATGTTCCTGCCACTCGGGGGGGTGAATACCCCCACCCTAATCTGGCACAGGATAAGACCAGATTGTTATACTTCTGTTTATGTTTATGGTTAATGTATCTAACTTCTCAACCTATCTCTTTCTTGCTTTTGCTTATCATATGTATTGATCTCCAATCCCAGTTCTCTGCTTGGATGCCGCCCGCGTCGTTAGGGAGGGGGTTGACTTGCCCCGCTCCAGAACTCACCCACGATGCAACCCGATATATATCTTTAGGAGGCATGCGAACCAGACACTTATGCCACGACAGCAACACCACACACATCACCTAATGGCTCTTAAGGTACTGTCACTTAATGTCCAAAGGACTCCAAACAAACGTAGGTTACTCGCGAGGGACATAAAGGCCAAAAAAGTAGATATCGCACTCCTGCAGGAAACACACCTCCCCAGGTCGGCATCGACCAGATTAACTGACAGAACTACGCAACGGTACATGAGGCACGTGCACTGCGCAAGCGATCAGGAGTAGCAATTCTCATATATAAACAATGCCCACTCCAAATATCAGCCACTCAGGTTCACCCAGAAGGACGGTACATTTACATAGGGGGCACTCTATATAACACCAAAATGCAAATCATTAACGTCTATGCTCCTAACGAACAAGACCCACTGTTCTGGTCTAACTTGGAGATGTTAGTGGCCGGAGCTAGGGGAGGGGTCCTTAAGGTCGGCGGAGACTTTAATGCAGTGCTGTGTCCAGCAGCGGACAGAAGCTCAAAACCAAGCACCATGAGGTCACAAGGGAAGGGAGGACAGGATGAATTATTACACACTTTCCTGACACACACTGGACTCCTAGATGCGTGGCGGCTACTGCACCCAGACACTATTGACTACACATTCTACTCAGCACCTCATAATACATACTCCAGAATAGATAACATATTTCTTAATGGATGGATAAGGCCACGGACATTAACAGCATCACATGGTCAGATCACGCGGACATAACAGTCACCTTAGGCAAACTACACTATCAATCCAACTGGACATGGAAACTTAACACTAGCCTCCTAAACTATGACACCGTACAGGAAACCCAACTTGCTATCAAAGAGTATTTTGAGCTCAATGCGACCCTTGACACTAACTCCTCTATGATCTGGGCAGCACATAAGTCCGTCCTTCGCGGACACTTTATAAAATTAGCCACACATAAAAAACACACTAAAATGAAACTATTACTAGAATTACAATCAGCTCTCCGGAAAGCGGAATAACATAAAACCAACTCGAAATTAAGAGACCTTAACGCCCTTAGACATTCAATAAAGGAACTGTCCTTGGAAGCAGTTTCACGCTTCCTACTTTGGTCTAAGAGACTATTCTATGAGAAAGCAAACAAAAGAGACACCCTCCTGGCCAGAGCATTACAGCCGAGAACAGGACGCAAAACCATAACAAAAATATGCACCAAAACAAATACTATAGCCACGACACCAGATGCTATTAATGAAGTCTTCACCACATATTTCTCAGAACTATGCAATCATTCCCCACACCTTACGACCAACAACACAACCTATATCGATGACATACAGAGGTTCCAATAGGAACTGACCATTCCAAAAGTGAATGGAGAAGAGGCAGCATCGCTGCGGGACCCGATTACACAATCTGAGGTGGAAACGGCCATAGCATCTCCCAAGGGTAACAAAGCCCCAGGGCCAGACGGTTATGACATCAGTTACTACAAGCAATTTAGAGACGTGTTAGCTCCTCATCTCACGACCCTCAGTAATCACTTTATTCAGAGAGGGAAGCCTGATGCAGACATGGCTACGGCAAATGTAATACTACCAAAACCGGACAAGGACGACACATTAGCCCCTAGTTATAAGCCAATATCACTGATCTTAAAATTGTCGCCAAAATACTAGCCTCCAGATTCACACCCATTCTTCCACATCTGATCCACCTTGACAAAACCCGGGCGACAACTATATGAAAACACCGGACAGGGGGGTAGACATTTTATGATACATGGTGGAATCCAAGAATCCTTCTCTGGCGCTCTCTTTAGACGCAGAGAAGGCATTCGACAGGGTACTGTGGCCTTACCAGTCAACTTACTCCATTCCCAGGGGTTCCCTGAGCCTTTTGTGACAGCCATACAGGCGCTACATACAGACATACACACACAAACGCTCATAACAGGGGCAAAGAGAACACCGTTCTCCCTTGGCAACGGAACCAGACAGGGGTGTCCCTTGTCCCCCTTACTATTTGCCTTGACACTGGAACCACTCTTACAAGCTATAAGGCAACACCCGTACATCCAGGGAGTGGAGGTCATGGGTAAACCATTTACGGTGTCCGCCTATGCTGATGATGTCCTGTTAACCCTCAGACACCCACTGGACCACTTAACGCTTCTACTGGAACGGTTTAGGTGTGTAGCGGGTTACAAGATAATCTTTACCAAACCAGTGGCAATAATTTTTATTTAGCAGCTCCGGATGTGGCATTAATACGCAGCTGACATCATTTAAGGATAAACCCGGAGAAATTAATGTCTGACAGCGAACCCCTCATCACTCTTCCCCCGTAACTACACGCCCCTGATCCAAACTCTTACTAAAGAGTTAGACCAATGGATGGACAGACCTATTTCTTGGTTGGGACGCATACACTCCATTAACTACCAAGGCTTTTATTCCTATTTCAAGCACTCCCGGTGAGAGTTACCTGAGGAGACTTAGCAGGCATACAACGAGCGATAAATTAATTAATTTGGCACAATAATCACCCGAGGCTAGCACGAACCCGAGGGGGGTTTAGGTCTGCCTAATATATATATAATTATTATTTAGCAGCACAATTAATCCAGATTATACAATAGCACACACCCCCGGACAGGAGGCACTGGGTTGATCTTGAGTCCCTGATGACAGGGATGGATCTTCTGCAGTTCTTCATATGGGTACCCAGGACCCAGAGAGCTATCCTAAGACCCGCCAACCCAGCCATTCTTAACAAATATGGGACTAGACTAAAAAGAAATATTCCCTAAGCACCCCCTTTTCCCCCATGACACCTGTACTCAGGAACAGAGCGTTCCCGCCCGGGACTATGGAGGGATAGAGGCCACGGGGCTACAGAGATATGTCCACCTATATGTTGATCAAGACATAGTCACGTATGCTCATCTGAACACTAAAGCCACTCTCAGAGCGCGAGACTACTTTAGATACTTACAAATCCGAGACTTCGCACAGAGGGCTGAAGTCAAGGAAGCAGCCACGACACCAATGACCTTCTTTGAAAAACTATGCTGTAACGAAACCACACAAACCAAACTCATCATGCTACTATACAATCACCTGAGTACAGCTACTGACAAAGAGGGCGCACTACGATACACTGACCAATGGGAGGCCGACCTGGGAGGGGGGTATTGGAGGGAACAGAGTGGCAAGACATTTGGGAAGCCTGCACCAAAACTACAATATGTGTAATGTTCCAGGAGCAATTATACAAAACATTATTCAGATGGTACACAACCCTGGTCAAACAGAAACATATGAAACTGAACCCTTCAGACAATTACTGGCACCTATGTGGTGGAAGGGGCATTTATATACACATGTGGTGGGAGTGCCCCCAGGTGACGAGATACTGGCACAAAATAGTAGATCTAAGCTCGCAGATCCTACAGAGGAAAATGGCCCCAGACCCTGGGCATGCCTGTTATCAAGGCCCACAGAGGGCCTCACCAAACACGAACAAAAGCTCCTAAATGATTAATGATTATGATTAATCGAGCAGCCCGTAGCGCGTTGGCACAGAAGTGGTC